GCCCCTCCGGGCCCTTTGGGGCGCCCCGCCGACAACCTGGGCCAGCCCCACGTGCGGCACACTGGAGGCACTGGCGCCGGCCCCGGGCCCACGGCACAAGGCGCTCGGGCGGCCCCGGCCCTGGGGCACATGCCGGCGCCGGGTGCAAAGGCATCCCCGTCTCCTGGTGTGCCCCCGGACGTGCGGCCCCGCCCACCGGGGGGCCCGGCGTGAGAGTGGCCCCGCCCCCAGGGAGCCTCTAAAGGTTGGGGACCACTGTCTTATACAGTTTGCAATGTTTATGGCAAACTTTCACCTGTAAAATTGCCCGTTACCAAATATAAACTAATGGCCATTGACTCATGAGAGCAATCAAACTATATGAAATAGGCTTATTGCTCCTCCCACAGATTACAGCAACTTCCAAATAAATGAATATTTTGTAGTTCTATAGAATTTTCCTTATAAGAACATGGAAACACATCATAAAGCTTAATTAAGAATCATGTCTTCTCATAAGGAAACAGCTGTCAACTAAAATAACTTTTCAAATGTACAGTCGAAAAACCTTGTTGCTACCAGCCTCAGATTTCTGCTAAGGCAATTTCTCTCTCTCGCCCATCTTTTCTACTTTACAGAAAAATAATTTTCATATCTCACATAGTCATGTGCAAAAACTCTTCTACAGTCCCACTGGCTGACTATAGGCAAATAGGTCACTCTGGTCAATGCCAACAACTGATCCTGAATGTAATCACAATTAGTTCAGAAGGTCTTTCACAGTGACACCTTATTGGGCTTTGGGAGCTCACTAGCATAATATCTACTATATATATTTGAGAGAGTTTGCCTGGATGTGAGCAAGCGAGCCTGTCTGTTCAAGAACTCCTAAACAGTAAGAGCTAGGGGTACCAAATTTGGTGCACAACTTCCTCTGACCATAATTTGAAGCAAGGTCAGGGTTTTGCTTGTGCAGGGAGAGGAGCCTGAAGTTCCCACCCCTACATGTACAGGAATGCATACAAACATACAGAAAACAAGACAGAATCACCAGGTAGGTGAAAGGGACTGGCTAGGAACATGCACCTCCCCCCGCCTCCTCCAGCTGCGACTGCCCAGCCCAGAGTCTCCCACTCTTCATCCTTTAGGGAGAGTGGAGGGAGGGCACATTGCAGCTCCCCCGCCACACACATACATTTATACAGGAACATTGCTGGATGTTCCTGTTCATCAGGGAGCAAGGGGTAAGGGCACAGTTTGCTTCATTCTTCAATCTGGCTGGGGAGAGCAGGCGAACCTGGAACTCCAGGGGACATGCACTCATCCCTCAGCTGTGACCTGGTAGCTAGCCTAACCATAACTAGAGTTAGGTAACATTTTCCAGTGAGTAGCTGCAGCAACAGGAAAAAAAAAATCAAAGTATCTGATCAATAGAAAACAAGCATGGTGGATGCCAGGGAACATTCACAAATTCCTCTGAGGAATTGTTCTCTTGGTATTTCTTTAATGCAAGACAGTTCTATTCAACTCCGCATTTACCTCTTTCAATGCCTGAAAAACAAAACAAAACAAAAACAAACAAAAAAAACCCCACATACCCACCAAGGCTCGTTCTATGCTTAAAGCTTCCATGGGCATAGCTACGTTGGTCAGCGGTATGAAACATGGCTATGTCGACAAAAGTCCCAGAATAGGTGCAGCTATATAGACGGAAGAGTGACTATTGGCATTGCCAACACTGGTTGGTGAATGATGTTCCTACACCAGCTGAGCTCTTCCTTCTGTCACCGTGAACTACATCTACAAGCTCTGTAGCCAAGACACAGCCTGATTCTCATCTTCGCTGCAGTACTAGCTTACGTTATACCTTGAGCTTTGCCCCAACCTGATCCCTATCCAGACAAGTAAGCTTCAGCTATGCTTTAAGATTCAATTAACTTATGCATGAGGGTTGGAAGGGGGTGGAAGCTCAAGTGCACAAGCTAGTACAACAGTGGGGATGCCAGAGTTCTGAGTTAGCAACAACTGAGTCGCTGCTCATCAGACAAACCACAATGTAAGCTTAAGTCCTCTTCTGCAGTGCAGCTCCTCATCCACTCCAGCTAGTCTAGCTGTGAATCATCTGAATATGGATGTTCAGCACCAGATGCCAGCATAAGATACTGCATGACTAACCGATAAGATGGAGTTT